ATTTCACAATTTTTACTGTATTTTTGAATCAAATAAATGCAACCTCGGTAAGCAGGAGAGACTTTTTTCAAAATTATTTGACTGGTAGTGTGTAAAATATGAAGTGATCCCTGCTGAAAAGGCCTGGTTAAATATGCTGGTAAAAGCTAGTTCAAGAGTAGAAGACAAAAACAGCTTTATGAGAGGAGACGAGAAACGAAAGAAAGAAAACGAACAGAAGCTGCTGCTGAAACCCACCGGCTCAGTAAGTGTGCTGTCCTTCTCTAGAAACTGAACCACACAGTAAGCCAGCTGAAGAACCAGAAACAACAGCAGTCAGTCATCAGAGTCAAAGCCTGCTGCACTTACAAACTAAAGGAGGAGCAAGAAATTATATTGTGGGTGAAAAAAAAATAAAGCTTATTTTTTAATGATCATTAAGATTTTCCCTCAAAATGTTACTACATTTTTTATTTAGTTAGATTTTCCCGAATGAGAATCTAAAGTAATTTATGCAGAATTAAAATATGGAATATATATTTAAAACGTTTCCACAATTTTCTAGAAATTATTTATATATATATTCATATAAATATTTCTTCATTAAAATCGATTTATAATTTTTCATATATAATTTATAATATAATATAAAATAAACAAATTCATATATATATAGATAGACACACACATATATGAGATAAATATATAATTTCTGTGATGTGGAGGGGTGTAGAATTCGTCAATAATTACTTGGGGGGGGGGGCAAAATTATGTACTTTAATTCTGCATGAATTACCTTTTAGTCTCATTAAGCAAAATCTTCATTCAGAAAAATGGGAATTACAAAAACCAAGTGTGAATTTTGCGGAAAAATTTGTAAAATTATCATAAAATAATGTCCTAATTTAAAATGTAAACTCTTAATGATCTCTATATATATATATATATATATATATATTTTTTTTTTTTCAAGAAGAAAAAAGTAGAAATAAATGACAGATTAACAGATATTCACATAGAAAACAGCTGTTTTAAATTGTAATATTATTTCACATTTTTACTGTATTTTTGATATTCTGAACTGAAGACTGACAATTTAAAAAACCATTTAAAGTCAACACACACACACACACACATATATATACATATATATAAACAAATGTTGCATTATATCCAACTATATTATATTTAAAAGGTATTAAATTGTAAAAAATAATATAACAAATGTAAAAAAAGTATTTACATTTCAATGCAAAAATAAAATTGTTAAAAAAAAAAATCAATATGCTTCAATGGCATGTTTTTCACTATTTTCCAAATCAAATCAAAGGTCATCACATGCAGTTATAGGTTATATGCAGTTTCACTCAGTTGTGAAAGTTGAATGCATTGCAAATCTTCTGTCATAGTTTTCAGTCTCACCTATAGAAAATGTTATTAATCTGTTTCCTGATGTACGCTCTGAGACCCAGGAACTTCCCGTAGATGCGGTGGAGAGTCGTCTTCAGAAAGTCACGCTCTCGAGGGTCTTCACTGTCGAACAGCTCCAGGAGCTGCAATCCAATCAGATCCAACATCCATTAATTACGCTTATCGCATGTGAAGTGAGCATTTTTTAGTAGGGATGCACCGAATGTTCGGCAACCGAAACCGAATAAGCGAAAAGACCAAATAAATTGTACCGAACAATGACGTGACGCTGTCAAATAGCACCTAGCGTAAAGTGAGAGGCGCGCACTCTTTATTATGCAGCACACACGTCAGCAGTGTGGAAGCATTTAAACTGTCGGAGAAAGACGCTAAAATCATTAAAGCACCGACAGCGAGAGACTGTTTAGTGCTGCAGCGCATGTCTTCAATGAGAAGAGGACGGGGTGATTGTTGCTGGTTACTGTATGATGATTGAAATCACGTAATGGCTTCAAACAATTAGTAAATAAACTGCAGAACGTTATGTTTTCTAATACACGCGCGCATTGCATGTATTCTGACAGCGCTGCACGAACTCTCGGCGGATCTGCTTGTTAACCAGGGTTCAAAGTCCAAAGCGCGAGGAAAATCTGCAATATATTCTAATGTTTTAAAAGAAGTCTCTTCTGCTCAGAAAGGCTGCTTTTAATTTTACAGTAAAAATACATGCCTTATTCAAGAAGGGGGTCTGATGGCCAAAAAATATTATTTTAGTAACTTATTAATTTTAAGTTAAATTGTGCTTTGTTGGTATAATGTCTGCTAGAATGTTAAAAATGTTCAGTGTACTTATTAATTTTAAGTTAAATTATGCTTTGTTGGTATCATGTCTGCTAGAATGTTAAGAAATGTTCAGTGTTAAGTAAATATTTTTAAATTGTTGTTTTGTAATTTATTTTTTATTTGAAAAGCAGGACAAAACAGTAAAAAGCACATTTTGGCTATTTCATTTATGCAATAGTGAAAAAATTTGTCAAAATACATGGGGAAAAAAACTCGAAAAACCGTGTTCGGTATTCGGCCCAGTGTTTCATTTTGTTCGGCTTCGGCCAAGAATTTTCATTTCGGTGCATCCCTAATTTTTAGCACATAGGTCTATGGTAATCATGCAAATAATGCAAAAATAACTTGAGGATCCACACTAAGCATCTGTTTTCTGTGGACATTATATAAACTCTCACATTTATTTAGTATATTCATTCAAACTGCATTGGTATTTGGAGTCCTGTGCATGCAACTTGTAATGATGAATGTTTTTTCAATGCCAAGTGATTCTGGAAATCAGACATCCAAAACAACACGTATTTCAACATAAGCATCCAAACGAACCGAGCACGTATTTCAACACACCTGCATCACAAACTTCTGGTCGATGTATTTCTTGGCTATGTTTGGTTGAAAGTCTGGCGACTCTAAAAAACGCAGGAAAAATTCATAGACGAGCTGTGGAAGGAAAAATATGTATCTGAAATATGCATTTCAAAATGTAGAAACATGTATTTATAAGCAAATTAGCAGTGGCCACTTTCATCTAAAGCACCTTACAGCACACTTTTTATAGATAAATTATTTTATTAATAATAATAAAAACAATTTCATTATAATTAAGCACATTAAAAAACTAAATAACACATCCACGTAAGTGCACACATTATTCTCATTTATAGGATTTTTTTTTTTTACTGTATTAGAGTGAAAACATTATTGGCTTTAAAAAAAACAAGTAAACGAGTAAAACACTACAACAAATAACACTATTATATACACTGCTGTTCAAAAGTTTGGGATCAGTAAGATTTTTTATGTGTTTTAAAGAAGTCTCTTATGCTCATCAAGACTGCATTTATTTGATCAGAAATACAGAAGAAATACAGAAAAAAAAACAGTAAAATTGTGAAATATTATTATGATTTAAAACAACTGTTTTCTATGCGAGTATCTGTTAATCTGTAATTTATTTCTGTGATCAAAGCTGTATTTTCAGCATCATTACTCCAGTCTTCAGTGTCACATGATCCTTGATTTAATATCAATATTGGAAACAGTTTTGCTGCTTAATATTTTTATTTATTTTTTGGAACCTGTGATACTTTTTTCAGGATTCTTTGATGAATAGAAAGTTCAAAAGAACAGCATTTATTCAAAATAGAAATCTTTAGTAACAATAAACACTACTGTTCAAAAGTTTGGGGTCAGTATGTTTTTTTCTGTCATTCTTATTTTTTTTAAATAAATGAATGCTTTTTTTCAGCAAGGATGTGTTAAATTGATAAAAAGTGATAATAAAGACTTATATTGTTAAGAAAAGATTTCCATTTTAAATAAATGCTGTTCTTTTTAACTTTATTCATCAAAGAATCCTGAAAAAAGTATCACAATATTTAAAATGGAAATCTTTTCTAACATTAGAAATGTCTTTACTGTCACTTTTGATCAACTGAATGCGTCCTTGATTAATAAAAGTATTAATTTCATATGAATGTCCAGGTGTTCACCTGCAGGTGAGGCCAGGCCGCTTCTAACGTGGGTTCATCCTCCTCGGGGTCAAACTCTGCGCCGGTTGGGTTGGATGACGGAGGTAACGCCCTAAACAGGTTGACTGCAAACTGAAACAAATCACATAAAACGAAAAATGTGTGTATAGATGCATATCTGATTACTGAGAACAGACTAAAGGAGCGAGTCTTTATCCATGAACCGTCCATTCAGCTTGTTGATTAATGAAACGTGGCAGCACATGCACAAATTAATCAGAAGAAAAGGGTTTAATCCTCCCGATCGCAGCACTTTGAATTTCCTGGCTTTAATCATCAAAGTGTGTGTGTGTTTTCAAGGGCATGTGATGCAGGAGAACATATTGTCATGCTTATTTCGCAAGTGCATTTGCACTTCGATAGGCCGCGGCTTAACATCAGCTGCGGGCTCTAATAAATATCAAAGAGATGTAATGAGATGTAATGCAGAAGCGCCAGGTCCGTAGCTAAACGCGAAGCTGTCGGCCAAAAACTGGCCCTTAAAAGGATGATCTGATTCAGAGGAGCCAACAGATCTGCCCAAACGCGCAACACAACCTCGTACGGCCGAGCGACGCGCTAGCTGTGGTTTATATAGTTCACAGCCACTTCAAAGAAGGAAAGAAGAGTTTAACGCAAGCTTTGACTTCTCAAGACCAAAATATGCATGTTATTAAAGGAATAGTTCACCTAAAAATTAAAGATGAGTTTGTTTCACCATCGGATTTGGAGAAATTGCATCACTTGTTCAACTGCAAGTGAATGGGTGCCGTCAGAACGAGAGTCCAAACAGCTGATAAAAACATCACAAGTAATGCAGTCCAGTCCATCAGTTAACATCTGGAGAAGACAAAAGCAGCTGAAACAAATCCACCTTAAAGACTTTTTTAACTAAAAACCTAGAGTACAAT